TTAAATGTACCCTGGACTTGGCCTGCACCCAGGGCCTGTGGCCTCCGCAGCCTTGGGCAGGCGGCCGCGGGGATTACGGGCGGTGAGGTGCCTGCAGGGGCCCTGCTGGCACAGCCACAGGGGTCTGGGGTGCTGCATGGGTGATAAGCCCCTACCCTAGGGAAGGGGGAGGTCCCACTTTAGGGATCAACCCCAATTCCTGCCCGATACCTTGAGCTTTTTGCCCTTGTAAGGATTCTTCACGTGCTCCTCGGCGTCCATAATGAGCTCTGTGAGGGTCCGAAACTTCCTCACCTGCGGGGTTAACGAAGGGCCACAAACGTGAGCAGGCTGCGCGTGGGGGACAGGGCAGGTCCCCGCTCGCCACCGCAAAACCAACCCACCCCAGCACCTCCAAAGGGCTTGTGACTCCAACAGCAGTGGGATGGAGTCGTCACTAATGGCTGAGGACTCGGGATGCTGAATTTGGGCGATTCAAACAGCCCTGGGAAGTGACCGGGACCCTCAGCCCCTCTCGCAGAGACCCCTCAGAGCCCCGCGCCGCTGTCGGTTACCTCGTTAGAAATCTCCATCCACTTCATCTTGCACATCTCCCCCGAGAAGTCCTTGAAAGCCACTTTCTCCCAGTCCAGGTGGGACTCGGTGGTTTTGAACTTGCTCCCGTCGTTGGAGGGCAGGTTATTCTTCATGCACTCCAGCAGAGTCAGCATGTCCTCCTGAGACCAGCGGTCTGCGCGGCAAAGAGAGGGGCTCAGCAGCAGCAGCAGCAGCGAGGGGTGGGCAGCCCTTCCCGACACCGCACGGGGACTACAGCTCCCGGCGTGCAGCTCCGGACCGCGCCGGGACATGTAACCTCCGCACGCTGCCTCTCCAGATTACAGATCAAAGGGAAGGCGGCTGTTTCAGTCACCCTCCAGCAACTTTCTACGGGCCAGAAACGATCCGGGCGCAGCTAGAAAATCCACTGGGCGCAAACCGGAGTGACTCGCTCTGGTCGCAGTGCGCCATCAGATAAGGCGACGCGGGAGCGGAGGGCTATTTCCTACGCGCGGGAGCGAAGCCGGGAGCGCCGCGCTCTCCAGCCAAGGAGGAAACAGGAAAAGCCACTTTCTAAGTGGAAAAGATGCGTCCGGAGCAACGGGAAACTCCCCCAGCGCTGCTTTTGCTTCGACTCGGAAAGCCCGGCCATCACCTGGGACTTGGCTCCATCTTGACCTCTGCCAAGGTCAAAGCTCCGAGACCCCAAAGCGGGGTGGGGAGCAGAGCCCGGCACAGCCTCCTCCATCTCCCAGTGGGGTCCGTGATGGCACAGGGGTGATGGTTGTGCCACCCCAACCGGGATGGAGCATCCCCAACTCCCATAGGGATGGGATGGCAAAGCTGGGGTGCCTGGAGCGACTGGGAGGCTGGGATGGGCAGCGTCCCTGTGCCAGGACGGGCACCAGGCGGGACATCCAGGCACCAAATGCCCCATCCAGCACCGACTGCGGCTGCCTCCTCGCCAGGGGAATTCCTCTGCTCCCAGCTTCCGCATCGGCTGTGGAGAGGAGCCCCGGCTGCTCTGCGGTGATGGGGGCCCTGGGGAAAAGCCACGGGCACCAGGAGCGGAAAGAGAGGTCCCTGGGGATGGGATGGAGGAGAAATGGAGCCCTGCACTGCATACCCATGCAGCACCAACTGCTTCGGACCAGGATGGGCACCAGAGGCCAAGGGACTGGCTCTCCACGGTGCTCCCTGCCCCACTGCACGGCCGGGTGACACCAGAGCACTCAGAGCTGCCTATGGGACACAGCATCCCGGCAATAAGGGGACAGCTCGTGGATCTGACGGGAGCATCGCGCTCCCTCTGTCCCCAGGAACGAAACACAAGCTCCCAGGAACACCCGGCTGCGAATCTCCCTCTGCTCAAACTCAAAGACACCAGCGCTGCCTCCTGCCTCCACCTCCTGTCCCCACCTCGGTCTGGTGAAGGGCAAACCCCACTGAACCCCAAATCCAAGCCAGGGATGTTAAAGGACACGCAGGACACGCAGCCAGGGGGAGCACAGCCGGGGCCTCCCACCCCATTTCATCTCCTGGACCCATCAGGTTGGGGGAACAGTTTGGGATCCAGATGGTCTCTGCAGTTACCTCATCAGATCCATTAGGGATTAATTTGGGGGATGATGGAAAGAGCCCCCCAATAAAGTGGGGAGCCCAGAGGCTCGGGACGTGTCCCCACACTCCCAGCTTTAGAGCCCCAAAATGTCACAAAGTGGGGAAAACAAGACAGGAAATTCCTGTCCCTTGCCAAAGGATCAGAGCTGGGGGGGATGGCACCGTGCCCAAAATTTTGTCTCCTTGCGTTTCCCATCCATTTTCCAGCCTTCCCCAGGCAAGGACCAAGGAGGTAGAATCGAGCCAGGAAGCTGGTGCTGACTTTACTCACAGAAATCAGCAATAACCCAAAGCCACGAAAACCAAACGGGAAGAGAGAAAGGGACGACACCCCCCGGTCTCAAACCTGCCTCCACCCAACAAGCCCCGTGCCTCAGTGTCCCCCCTCCAAGGCAGCAACGCCTCGAGACCTCTGGCCCCGCGTGACCCCGCCGCCAGCAGACGGCCGAAATAACCACAGCCCACAGGAACACGCCAGAAAACTGCGGAAACATCCCCAAAACCCTCCTGGGTAGCGGGGTGGGCACCCCCAGCTCTGCCCCTGCTCCCTCTGGGTGGGATCTGCCGAAAAACACCGGCATCGGGGAGTTCACCCGCCAAGATGAATGGGGTTGTCTGTGCCCTGGGACCGATTTATCCCCGGCTCTGCTGGCATCGCCCGGGCAGGGGCTATATTAGGAAAGCTGCCCCGGTGTAATTAAATCCATGTAAAGACCCAGAGAAGGACACGTGCTCGGGGCGGGTTCGCTCAGGGCAACAAACCCACTGCGGCAAGCGAGGGAAAACGGGGGGACCAGGGAGATGAGAGGGGCCAGACTGCGCTCCCCAGCATTTGGGGGGGGTCCCAGGGAGCTTTTGGGTGGGGGGCAGCGGAGTCTCGCTGCCCAGACAGGCTTTCCCTAAATAAAAACGGCCTTTTTTTTTTTTTCCCCCTTGTTTTCCTCTCTCTTTTCCAATAAAAGCTGAAGCTCTGATGTCATCCCGGGGTCTGGAAGCCGGAGGCCCAAGGTAACGGCTCGGCTTTTAATGCAGCCCAGATGTGGACGGCAAAGGCAGCAGCACCTCTTTGTGCCAG